CATAGGAAACTGTAGTACTACACCTCTTGGCGCCGGAAAAAAGGCCTTAGGTATGCTTTAATTCTCGGGGATATCTTCATGTTCGCTGTAACTGGTGTTTAAGAAATACAGATTGTGCATTAGATCTATGCTCCACCGCTATATAAATCTTATACAATTTTGGACTCTCTAGATGAGGAAAGCAGCCAATTACGAGTTTAAACTACCAGCCCAAGAGCAGGGGATATAGCTTGCCGAATGATTAACTTAAAATCGAATAATCGGAATTTGAAAAGCTCCATGCGAAACTTCTGTTGCTGTAGGTCCATGGTTCCCAATCGAGGGGTGGGCGAAGGCGTAAAACGTTTTGTCAAAGTTTTAAATGTTGCAAGTAAACACACGTACACAAACCAAGTACAGAATAGAGGAGTCTGCCCTGCTCCAATAAGTAACCAGTCTCGTCCAAGGCAAAGACGGAATGATGAACTGGGTGCAGAAAATGGTCAGCCTTTTCTGGCGATCCCTCCAGCAGCTATTCATCTCGAAAGATATAGTACCAAGCTCATTACTAATGAACAGAAAAATATGATTTGTCACCACTGAATACCTGTTTTGATTAATACACAGACGAATCTATGATGTAACTAATACAAAGGATATAGGCATTCATCATGAGGAACATTTTTATAAGGTCTACTACTAATCACAGCGTGAAAGATATAGGTAATTAACTGGAATAAAGCTATCAAAGAATAACATCACCCAGTAGTCCTGACAATATATATTCTAATTCAAACAGGAATTAGTGGCCATTACGCTGTTTTAATTGAGGAAATATGTGCGGCAGACATAAAGCAGAAATGACCTGTAACTGCTTCTGCGTCTTATTCTTGAGGAGTTCCAGCTGGCAGTTTCCAAGTTACCGATTTTGAATGCTTGTGGATCGCCAGATCTCGAAGGCGCATCCACGAGAACATTACAGGGTCTGAGATTTGCTTCAAACTCCAAGCTTCCAGGGATCACGCTTCCAGCAAGAACATGTAGAATTTTTCTATGCCTACTCTTCCTTGTTGTGAAATCCCTCACGTAAGGCATTTGGAGCTTCACCTATCTAAATAATGAGGCAAAAGTACCTGCATTGATAACAGCTGCTTTGAAGATCTAGGCTAAACAACTGAGTAAAGAAATGACTCAGCTTTTTTTAGCAGCAATGCTATGCAGAAAATCAGTCAGTTTACATTATTAATGTCACACAATAAAATAATAGTATTGATAATAATGATAACAGTCTATTAATGATTGATGAGGATGATTGATGATGGTGATGATGATAATAATAAAAGTAATAGTAATAATATTAATAACAAAAATAAAAATAATAAGAATGAAAATAATAATAATAATAATATCGATAATTATAATGATAATAATATTGTTAATAATAATAATGAATAATACCAGTAACAGTACCAGCAGCAACAATAACAATAATAACAATAACCATTATAACGATATTTAACATTAATAGTAAGTAATGACAATGATCATAATAAACCGGCTGAAATGTGCCTGCCGCCACAGCTTCCGGGGAAATCAACTTTGTTATAATATTCTGCAATACGATAAAAAAGTCAGCCATTAGCTATCAATAAATATGTTCATATATCAAACGTAGCAATAGCCCTTGTTTCTCTGAATATTATTCTTCATACATTTTAAACGAAGGTGAGGCTAAAGAAGGAAATGCCGATAATTTTCCGGAAATTATTTCCCCTGAAAATAAATTTCCAGAAACTCATCCCTTCTGCATTGGCTTAGAAGAAGCACGTGCTAATACTCACCCCATAATGCAATTGTAAACAACACAAAATAAACCATACAATCAATACAACCTTCAAAATTCGCCAGATGTGCCCAGTTAACTCGCCTCTAGCCAATCAGAACGCTAGTTGGCGCCTTTCGATGTTATGATTGGCTACTTGCTGAGAAAAGGCGAGAACCTGTCACCTCCAGGGTGGTGCGGCCACGAGCAGCTGATTTCAGAGGTCTTGAGATGTCAGCCCAGTGATGATGTCAGCCTCGAGGTGATGTCAGCGTGATAGTGGTGTTCGCAGGACTCTTTTTCGGTCACCAGGAGTGTCAGGTGTCATCATGGAGGAGCCAGGAGACTCAGGAGAGGAGAGAAAAATGCGGTCGAGGGTTAGTGTTCACATGCACGATAGGCAGATGACCCGATTTTCCAGTTAGAGTTTATGTTCTCTTTTGTCTCACATTTTTCCTGAATGTCTTTATATCTGTGTCATTGTTTTGTCGGATAGGTTGATGTTCCTTTATATCTTGTCTGCCGAGTCAAATTCGTAATTTGATGTCTGTAGAAATTACATAAAGTTTATCATTGTATGATTTTATGAATAATGATATATGATTGTTCCAAGCCACCCTTAAAGTAAACAGAAGTCGCAGTATTTATCATTATTATAAAGAAAACAATTATTATTTTTATTTATAGAGAACAAGATTTATATGCTACCGCCCTACATGAAGCTATATGGAATTAGAAAACAAATGTATGCAGGTATGGGTATTTGTGCCCGAGGCTTGATGCTGTGGTTGGGACGCAAAAATTGTTTTGGGAGATATATATGATATTGTTTGTGAGGCAGATAGACTGAATACATTTTGGAAAAGTTAGATACAGTTCAAAGTCTGTAAGAACTGAGTCTGTAAGAGTGAGATTGTATTTTATATGAAAATGCGTGTCATAGATGAAAGAAGGAAAAATTTACAGTGGATGACAATCAGGGCTACAGTAAAAAAAAAGTATGGAATGATTACCTAGATGTAAACTGAGACCCTTTTCATCAATGCGAAAAAATGTGGAAATTGAAAAGAAAGGAGATGCATGCCAGAAAAGAGAGGAGGTTGTCCCATCTTCAAAAGAAGCGTTAGATGTCCAAATACTAGGAGTTCAATATAGTTTTGAAAAATTTTAAATGTAAAATGTTAAATAAAAGTAAATTATTAATGGTTTGTATCTTAATCAAAGAAGGATATCACTAAGTATAAAAAAAAACAAAAAAAACAGAGAAAACTTGCTATATTTGCTTACATTCTTTTTAGTCAAGTGACTGGTCCCACCAGTGCACTTGGCCAGATGGGGTGGGGCTCGTGCAGAATTAGATTTTTTCCTCACCATGAGAATGTCATTTTGCTTGGATTTTTTATTACTGGATTTTGTATTTAATCATCATATTTAACCTTTAAATAACTCTCAAAAGAGAAGAAAAGCATATTGAGGTGTCATTGGTGTGCAAATGGTATTTGTTCAGCCAGCTGTGTAGTCATTTGGGAAACTTTTTTTTTTTTATAAGAATGTTTTAATGAAGAAGTGTCTCTATTAAAACTTGTTAGATGTAAACAAATATATAGTACAGTTAACTTATAAAGGCCTTGTGAAAGATATTGTGAATTGGATTTTGTGGTAGTTTTTAAAAGACCCCAGAACTGGAACTGTCAAAACAAGACTTTTCTTTGAACTGTGATTTAAGGTCTGCAGTCTTAATTGGAGCCTGGTACTGACACCATGTCAAAGAGATTACTGCAGCCTACTCTCTGCAACAGAGACTAAGAAACCCCCCACAGCATATTCCTGGCAAAATAGCTTTATGACTGATTCCTTATTTGTTATTTAATTACTGAGGAGGTCTATTAGCTCTGTCTTGCCAAATATAAGTGTTGCAAAGATACAATGGCCTTTTTGAGAGTGACAACAGATACAGATGCTCCGTTCATTAGGATATGGCCATAGCATACATGAAGGTGTTTTCCAAATGCTTTAGAATTTTGTTTAATTCTTCAAAATGGGATAGCATACAAATAGATAATTCCTTGGGGGATGTGGGAAACCATGCTAGGATTGGATTGTCTTGACATCCTGGTTCATAGCCAATTAATTTTTTTTTCTTTCTTGTGTGTGTGTGTGTGCGCACGCAAACACGTGTGTGTGTGCATGCATGCATGTATGCGTGTATATATGTATGTATGTATGTATGTATGTATGTGCACATGCATACATCCCCCTCTTCCTTGGGGATGTGGGAAAACCTCACTAGTATTGGATGGTGCAGGATATGTATGATAAGTATCTTACCCATCCCAGATGTGAATTTTTTTTAGTGTATTGGAAATCTTTAGAATATAAGATTAAAAGATCATGGAATTTGTGTATCACATAATTCAAAAACATTTTTATACTGTGACATAGTTTTAATTAAAAATAAAGAACTTATATGATCATGATGATAACAATGTCGATGAACAGTGAAGATGAAGTTGATGATAATGATAATATTAATAATAATATATAATGATAATGATAATAATAATAACTGATATTGATAATGATAATGATAATGATAACAGTCATAGTAATGAAAAAGATATGATAATAATAACATTAATGATAATGATAGTAATAGCAATAGCAATAGTGATATTGATAGTTGTGATAATAATGATAATGATATGTTAACAATAAAGATAATGATAGCTACAGCAATAGCAGTATTGCTAATGATAATGATAATGTTAATTACAGTAACAACATTGATAAAAATAATTGATATTGCTGATAATGATAATGATGGTAATAGTGATAATGATGATAGTAAAGATAATTGCAATAATATGATAATGATAATGATAATGATAGTAATAGTAATAATGATTGCAGTTGTGATAGTGATAAAGATAGAGATAATGATAATTATAATGAATACAATAACAGTAATGACAATGACAACAACTACAGCAATGACAATAATAATAATAATAAATAACATAATAGTAAGTAATAATAATAATGATTGTAATAATAAAATAAAAATTGTGATAATAATAATGACAATGATAATAAAATATAGATAATAATGATATTGATAGTAATAATGAATTGATTTTGTTATTTTATAATATAATATTGATTTTGATAATGATTATAATAATATTGATTTTGTTAATTATGATTATAATAATATTGATTTTGTTAATTATGATTATAATAATAATAATA